CCTGTACCATAACACGAGGTGGACTGGTTGGTCTTGTTTTTGGTGGCCTGTACCCTGTTTTCTTGGCTATCCCTGTGAATGGTGGCCTAGCAGCCAGGTAGGAATGCTTTCCATAATTATCGAAAAACTTTAGTAATATATATAAATGATTGCCTAGAAAATGCAAACTTTAAAACAGCAAGTACATTTTCTATTTTTAAGGCAATGTTACCTGTTTGACTTGAAAGAGTTAACAAGACTTGTTTTTTCTGGGTAATCAAAGAATACTTCTCAAGAATTTGAAAACACTTCTAGAAATTCATCACACTACCTCTTGGGTGTGTAGTTCAGGTTCTTAGCTTTATATATTGAATACTAGCTACAAAGCTGCAAAAAGTACTGTGACTAGCATGAAAACTACATTATATGCATAATGTTCTTAGGGTTTGACTACTTCCTCTAAAAGAAAATTCCATCAGAAAATGTCTCGCTATAAGCCAAAATAATTCAGTTATTCTCTGATGAACTCTTGTACCAAGCAATCTATACTATATGAGCTTCCAGAGGTGAAACGCAGAAAAGGACAGTTTTTATGACTAATAGACATTGAAGAGAATAGCATTACCTCAGTCTTTACCTAAGCTAGTTTTAAGACTTCTGGAATTAATATGTATTGTACACAGATTTGCCACTTGATACAACTGTCTTTTCTAGTGAACTGTCTCAATGTTTTCTTACAGGTATAACTCAGCCCTGCTACCCGAGAAAGGAAACATCTTAAATTACTGGATTAGGATTTCTAAGCCTGTCTTTAGAAAGATGTTATTTCCCATTTTGCTCCAGACTGTGTTTGCAGCATACCTTGGGTCTAGACAATATAAACTACTTATAAAGGCTCTTCAGTTACCTGAACCTGACCTAGAAATTCAGTGATGGTTAAGCAAATCTGTACACAAAAATAAAACTGTAAAAATAACCTACATCTAAGTATGAATAAATAAGACTTGTAATTTATTACATGAGGTACAATTCTGGGATCTACAACAAAAGGCTGAATAAATTATTCAACACTACCCACTTAGCCAAGAGCCTACTTCTCTAGTGTTCCCAATACCATCTCTCCCACATTGCTTGCTCTACTCCTTTACATTAGGCAGTTTGGTCTGTAACAGGGAAAAAACCACATAGCAGTTTTCACTGAAAACCTCAAAGAATCCAAACAGGAATGAAAATGGCAGGGGCCAGGGTGGGGAGTATCAATACACTACAGAAACATTACACTTCATTTTCTCAATTCACTGTTTCCATAGGTATTATTCTTTCATAGAATCTTAGAACATATTTAAAAACATTCCTTACAGAGGGATCAATTCCCAGTATTCTTCACAGATGATTATTCAGGCTCAGCTTGAGCTGTCCTAATGATAGTTACCTACTTCAAAAGTCATCTTATTTATAACATTGGAAAGCTATACTCATAAGATTAAGGTAAATTCTATCTTTGAAGCTTTCATCTAGTGTGGTATAGTTCTTGAGAAGCACATAGACCTGAGTCATTTTTTTTTGGCTGTATGATGCTAAGCAAGTTAACTGATCTCTCTGGCCCTCAGTTTCCTCATCAGTAACCTCACTCAAGATTGGTATCATATATGTAAGTTGACTTAACGTAGCACCTGTCATCAGGCACTCAAATTTGAGGTAGCCATATTCTTCCTATTGTTTCTGGTTTTGTTTTTTGAAATATCCTAGGTCTATTCCTCAATTCCTAAGATAGATCATTTAAATTTTTGAAATGATCTATTGTGTTTCCCTTCCTAAAAATTTTCATCTCAGTTCTTGAAACCATTTTCTCATGTAACAGCATCTAAATCAGCATTGGCCAACAAAACTTTCTGTGATGATGAGGAAATATTTTATATACGACTGATATGTTAACACTAGCCGTACGTGGCTACTGAGGACCCAGAATTTGACTAGTGCACCTGAATAACTGAATCTTTTATTTTAATTAATTTAAATTGTTTAGCCACATGTGGATAATAGCCTCAGTATTACACAATGCAGAGCTAGACCAACACTTTCTTATGAAACAAGCCAGTCATACCAAACAATATTTGTGTCATCCAAGACCACATTCACAAGCATCTTAACTATTCTTTTCAAATATAGTGATATATCTGTTAAATAATCTTATGCTACTTAAAATTATATGAAAGGATTTAGCCTCTCACCTAAAAAAGGCAGCTCTGAGAGTGGGACAGGCTTTCAGTGGCCCTTAAAGAAAGCAGTACAGCCAAAGATGTAAAATTTAATTAATAAAATACAAGGGAATTCCCTGGCAGTCCAGTGATTAGGACTCCACACTTTCACTGCTGAGGGTGCAGGTTCAATCCCTGGTCGGGGAAGTAGAATCACGCAAGCCACGTGGCGAGGTCAAAAAAAAAACAAATTGAAACATTATAAAACAAAATTCCCTATCAAACTATGTTTGATAAAAAAAATGATCCCAATTATCAGACAAAAGAATCTGTATTTTACTGTGGATATTCTCTGGGTTATAAAATTAAGGCTGATTTTTCTTTTCATTCTGATTCCCTTCTGGATAATCCCAGCTTTCTGAAATGAATATGCTTTACCTTTACAACTAGGAAAAACATATATAAAAGGCAAAAAAAAAACCCAAAAAACTTTATTTTACAAGCTAAAATACCACGATAAAGCTGTCTGACCCAAAATTATACATTTTATGTGTGCTGTCATTTTTATTTAAAGCAGAGTTCTACTTATCACAGTAAAAAAAAATTAAAATTCCTAACTTCCAAAATAAGAAACCCAAATTACTGAATTAGACTCCTTTAAAAAGAGAGAATGGTGTAATGAACTTAGATAATTCAAAACCCACTGATATTACTAAATGGATAATTTAGCGCAAATTGTTTCCTTACTTATCCTTAAACACTCCCACCGTACTTAACTCCCTAGCATACCACCATCTATAAACATACAAAAATTTACAATGGTTTCTGCAACCAAAAACGATTTCTAACATCTGTCTTCTACCATATTTTTCTTAAATCATCTTCCCAGTTAGTAGAAATGGGCAACATAAGCCAAAGAACATGTTACTTTAAACCTGTTGCTACAAATGTACTTTACCAAAACTTTTGGTCAGGGGGCAAATTTGTGCGAGCCTGCTGTGATCTGCATTACAATTTAAGGAAACAGTCATTTTTAGCTAAGACCTGAAGAACACTGCCTCAGTCAGGAAAATAGTTTACTTCAATTCTGTCACAGTAAACAAACTATTTAAACCTGTCTTTCAAAATTTATTCTGTGCAGTTATTTGGCTTTAAAAAAGAAGGTTCATGTTATACTATACTTAAATTAAGATATTAATTTGTAAACCCCAGACTATGGTACATTAGAAGCCAGAGGGGTTTGACCTCAGTGGGTAAAAAGGAAACAATTTTTTTTTTTTTGCGCTCACTGTTGTGGCCTCTCCCGTTGCGGAGCACAGGCTCCAGACGCGCAGGCTCAGCGGCCATGGCTCACGGGCCCAGCCGCTCCGCGGCATGTGGGATCCTCCTGGACTGGGGCACAAACCCGTGTCCCCTGCGTCGGCAGGCGGACTCTCAACCACTGTGCCACCAGGTAAGCCCAGGAAACAGAATTTGATGGCACATTTTAAACGAAGTTGGGCCACCAATAAAATTCAAATCTGTACATATTAACAGCTACACGAATGTTCAAAACACCAAGTGACCAGATTTTTAAATTAGATTAACTGAAAATTGAGCAAAAGATGAATTTCGGCAAATTTTGGGTCAAGAAAACTACAAAAAATTGGGAATTCCCTGGCGGTCCAGTGGTTAGGACTCCACACTTTCACTGCAAAGGGCCCGGGTTCATTCCCTGGTTCAGGAAGTAAGATCCCACAAGCCACGTGGCATGGCCAAACAAAAACTACAAAAAATTATGAAAGTCCACTGTGACCCGGTTTCTTTTTAAAAAGTGGGAAAAACGGCTAACTAAGAAATCCTGAATGTACAAATTGGGGAAAGGTAAAAAACTAGGAATAAAAACACTATGAGTAACCAAAGCAATGAACAGGGCAACTTTCTTTTAACCTTTATCTTTAAAAAATATTTTTCCTCTAATATTACAGGATTTATTGAAAACGATAAAGAAATTTACTTTCTGAATAAAATTTAAATTATCTCCAGTTTAATTTTCCTGCACTTTAAAACTGCATGTAAATGACCACTTGCAGTCTAGGTCAGAGCTCTGAGCTCAGTCTGGTATTATAAGACAATAGGGCGTGACTGGCAGAGAGTATTGAGGTATTCAAGTTCAAACATGTAAAAAGTACTGTGCTGGCCAAACAAACACTTTACAAGTTTCTAATGGAGGACCTCCCCTGGCTTAAATGGTAACTACCTGGTTTCTCAACAAAAAACAGTACAGTAAAATATAAAAATATAACCATTTGGGAAGGTCTCAAAACTTTGTATTGATAGCCTGGGGAAAAAAACTAAACACTTGGAAATATTTTACCACCTATTCAACCTTAGTCATAAGATTGTTTAGCTTAAAGGCATACCTCCAAAATACTGAACTAGGTAATCACATACTTTAAAAGGTAATGACTCATTATCAGTGAATTATCCACTCTATTCTATCAAAGCAGTAGTTATAGTCACCGAATAGTGTTGATGCCTACCTGATTTTGGTTACAATACAACCAGCTGTACTGTTCATACTGTAGGAGCATCCATCAATCACATAAGCATAAGCCACTGGGAATGCGCTTTGCTGCCTGGCATCAGAGACACCGAATACACTTACAAGGAACTGAATGGATTTAATAAATTTTTTGTATCACCATACAATAACCAAACTGTATAGTTATTATGATGAATCATTCTGGAAAGAAGATTAAGAGCCTATCTCCTACCCCCTCCCACTTCTATCATCTGCACACTTCCCAAATGAGTCAGTAAGATAAAATGACTCAGTCTAGACCAGGTGAAAGAATGTATTAACATAATCCAACAAAAATGAAATAAAACAACCAGAGTTTTGAGTGTTTTTTCACACTTGTAATGAACTGGAAAAATGTTTCAATTAAGTAAAACAACCATATTCCATGAAAAAAGCCACTCCCATCATCCAGAATACTAAAGCCCTTACATACTAGAGAAATTTTAATATAAAACAGTAGAAACTAGTATACCATTCATTAGAAACCTCAAAATATTTTTAATAAGTCCTCGGAGAAAGCTCAAGAAGCCAAAAACCTCAGAATCCACACATCTTGGCATTACCCTGAATCGCAATTAACTACCCACACATTTAATCATAATCAATTTTTCAAAGATATACAGACAAATCAATGCATCTATTTAAAAAGACTACTCTTTAAAGACTTTACATTAACTTTTATATTCTACTCAGCAACGTCTGTCTGTACTTCAGATTAGTTCTCATGTTCCAGGAAATAAATACAAACTCATTATATGCCTGTGATCACTGATGGCCTGTTTATGTAATTCTACTCCACTAAATCTAATTCCACAGAATGTGCGCTTGATTATGTAAAGAATCTAATATTCCTTGATGAAATACTATCATTCTCTTCTCCAATGGTTGCAATTTTTAAAAGGTATGCAAAGAACTGAGTATCACTCCCATGAAAGACAAAAATAAGTATAATTTTGTTCCAAAATTAACTTTGTCTCATGTATTTCTATTAAGTCTTTCAAGGATTCCAGAGAATCTTTTCATATCTCCATTTCTGGAAAGTGAAATCAGTATAGAAGTAATTTGGGAACTTGAAAATGGCATTCATTTTTTTCAGCAGATGCCAAATTTTTGACCGACATGGCTCCCACAATTACTTTGTTACCATCAGTCCAGTCAGTTAACAGGTTGTAGGAAAAGATTCGTTTTTGCAGACACTGCTAAGCTGTTTAAAGAGAAGAGAGAGAGATTAATTTAGTGATTATCAAATGCACAAATATTTAAAATATTTCGAACACTTTTTGTCGGATTATATCAGAGGTGTGACTACATTTTAACAAACGTGGACTTTTTAGTTAGGTTTGGTCAAGGAAGTGCAGAAACATTAAGTCAATATGATGTGTTAGTTCAATTAATGTATAAATTCCTGTCACCATCGGAAGACAAACATTAAAAGCTACATCTTTAGTACTTGCTGTATCATTTTGCCACAGAGGCACAATTAGGAAAAAAATATTAAAAAAAAAAAAGATTCCCCAAACACTAAATTGCTTTCATCCATTACAGTAAACAGAGCCAAACCTGAAAATTTCTAAATCCATATTATATTCCAGAAATCTCCTTTATCCAACTACTAATCATTCAGAACACAATTTTCTAAAAATAGTAAGACAACAGTTTCATATTAATCATAACTTTTTTAATTAACAAGTAGTGAATAGGACACTTTAAGATATTGTTTACTACATACTGAAATAAACATATCTGTTGTAAATTCAGAAACCCAAACATTTACAGTAAAATATGTTTACACATAAATATGACCAAATTTATTTAAAGCCCCTGTTAGATAGGTCCTAAATACATGCAATACCATGTAAAAACAAGACCATGACGTTGATGCAAAAAATGACAAAATCACTAATTTACCAAAATTAGAAAAAAAAGAGAATGAGATGGAAACTAAGAAAAGACAGTTAAAACAGAAGCAACCTAACAAAGCAGCTTTTAAAATAGTCGACACTAATCTCCATTTTCAAAAGTTCTTAATCAAGTATTTCCAAAAACTGCCATTTATAAAATGACATTCTAAAAATCTATACTTGGAATGTCAAATCATCCCAATTCAGAAAGCTTTGACTACTGTTTCTCCCCAGCCCCAAACTTCAAATAATGCAGGAAAATCATTGACGTTAGGAAGAAAATATTCCAAGGGAATGGTATAATTTTTAGAAAAACGCACTTACTGCTTCCAGAACCTTTTAAAACCCACAGCATTAACAACAATCATTTTTCCTATTTTCATCCATTATTTTCTAATGTCATGTTAGAGATGAATAAATTATTTGAGCCCATGACTGAAAGATCAACAAACCTGGTTTTATTATGACACCATATTTTTGTCATTGGTACTGCACAAAATTATATACAAAGAAATATATACAAAATGTTCAAGTATTAATTAACTTTCAATTCAAGGCTTCTGTTTCAAAAAGCTACATTAACATATTCCATAAAGATAGCACAAATTAGTCATTTCAAATAACTTTTCCAACTACTTTTGGTTTTTATATATATTTATATATATAATTCAGTAGGCACTAAAAATCCATGCAGCTGCATTGTGAGGGGCTTGCTCCTGCACTTAGGTATAAGCAGGTTCATCACTCCAGGTTGTGAGTTTGGCTACTATCCATTCATGCTCAAGTGCAGTAGATGATTTTACAAAATATGCTGTAATGCACTGGAAACCAGAGACCAAGTTAGGTCTCAAAAGTGTATTATCTAGCAACAAAACATTTACAGTTCTGCAAGAACAAGATTCCATTTTCATAACCAAATAACAACAAAATAAAACATTTTATATGTAAGATAACTTACATCTTTGGACTGCTGGAAAATACTTTTTAATTATGAACATTTTAAAATAAAAGCAGAAGCCCTGATATTACCTCTTTTTCCTCATTTCTTATACTACCTTTTAAAATAAAGCAGGAAATGTGGCCAGCAGCTGGTCCCGTCTCTTCTGCCCCAACAGCTGTATCCACTTTAGCACAAAGAAAAACAAGGATGCTAAATACGTATATACTTTATCAAACAGTGATGTTTCACAAAGAATTTCTTAATGTCTCTTACACTGAAAGACACTGTGACTCAATCTATACAACTGGACAATAGATAATAGAGTACTTCAAAGGAAGACTATGTCCCAACTTTGGAAAAAGTGTCAATCGTGTCATTAAGTCACTCAATTTTAAAACTTACTTTTAAATAGGACAAATACCCTTGAAATATGGAGAATAAGATTCTTTGTGAAGCCTCACTTTACACGTTTTCATTCACATTTCATAACCTTCAATATCTAATCATACATAAATTTAACCTAAAATTTTAATACAACAAAAATAAAGGTGTTCAACAATTTATTCATACTCAGTGATAGGGTAAATCACTGTGCTGGTCCTCAAAGAAACATTTCATTAACCATTCTTATTCTTCCTTTAAGTAACTAACACAGGAGTCTGATATGCATGTTAATTTCCAACTTCTCTAATGGTGAGATATAAAAATCTATTAATCTGAATAGATTGTATATCTAGATCTATGAAAACTAAAAGGCATTCTTGAATATTTAAGAGATTTCTGTCATCTCCACAAAATAACTATCACATTTGTGTATGCCCCAAGTACTTATTGTCAACCTCTGAAAAGTTGCTCTAAAATTGGAATTCCAATTTGCACCTTGTACAACTCGGAACTTCCATTCAACTTCACCTGTGTCACTTTCTCCAAACTGTATCTCTATTAGCAGCTTTCAGTGTACAGTTGGAACCGATGTCATCCAAGGCCATGTCCACACTGGGGACAGAAGAGCTAGGTACACGCAAGTCTGAACAAGGGGACACATTAACAGCTATTTCAACCAGAAGAAGCAACTTGAATACAATATTGACCAGCACAAGTCTGTTTCCAGGGTGGACAGGGCCCAAATTAGATTTCCCTCCCACCTTCCAAAAAACAAAAGAAAAAAAAAATCACACACACACACACAAATTGAGATGTTGCCCATTAAAGTAGACTAAGCAGCAGAGCATGAGCGTTACGTGAAGAGATGGATCCTTACCAGGTTGTGAGGCGGGAACGACTGTTCTGTAACCCCTACAACGGAGCCTGGCAGGAAGGAAATCACCTAAAAAAGAAACTGTCAGAGAGATTTAATAGTGACATGTTATCATTAGGAGTTGGTTACAGTGTCACATTCATGCTTTTAGCTAAACACTTAAAGATTCAATATTACTTTTTTTTCCTCCTCTGAAATGTGTCCAGTGAAGATGTCCCACTAAGGTGTTTTACATGGTGTAAGGGAGTTGAAAGGGGTAAACGCGGATAAAGAGCAGATTACTTGACCCTACATTTTAAGAGAAGACGACGCCTTCCGGGCGCACGCCGAGCAGAACTCCACCGACACCTTATCCTTGTCCACATGAAGACACACTCCTCCGGCTGAGTCGTCCTCTTCCAGCAGGTCCTGCTGCTGCTTTCCCACGGGCAGAGCGTAGTCATGGTCACCGGCGGGCGAGTCTCTGAAGAGCGAGGTGGTCAGCCGCAGTCCCACGCCGCTCAGCCGGCTCAGCAAGCGAGCCAGTCCGGTCTCGTTGGCTAAGACGGCCCGTAGGTAGCGACTCTCCTCCTGCAGTGCTTGTACGCGCTTTCCCAGCTCCCGATTCTCGGCCCGCAGCTCCTGGTTCTCGGCTGCCAGACCCCGTACTCGACTCTCCAGCCCCATCACGTACTCCTTCTTCTTCAGCCGATTGAGACGGGCAGCAGCCGCCGCCGCCTTCCGGGGACTCTTTGTCGTCGCCTGGTTGTTGTCGTTGCCGCTGCTGCCGCCGCCTCCTCCCGGGGACTTTCTCCGCCTCTTTTCGCCGCCGCCACTGTCACTGCCGCTGCTGCAGCCTCCGATGCCGTTTAACAGCCTCTGCAGCAGGTCAGAAAAGCGCTGCATCTCGGCAGCCGCGGCCTCGTCGTCGTCGTCCCCTCTCCACAGGCCGCCGCTATCCGAGCCTCCGCCGGACGAGGAGAGGGGCCCGGGCGAGTTGAGCCCGGGCTCCAGATGCCAGTCTGGTTGCCGGGGGTCCAGCAGATCCGCCAGTTCCAGGCCGGACAGAAAGTCCATGTCCTCCGTCTCCTCCCCGGGGACGCTGGCGATAGCCTCCTCCTCCATCTCCTCGGGCGAGGGCGCGCGCGCGGCCACGATGCCACGGCCCCCCCTCCCGGCGTCCGACTCGCCCTCGTCGCCGCGCGGCTGTTTGCGGCCGGGAGACCCGGCCGCCGCCGTCCCCTCGTCCTCCGCTGCCGCCCGGGTCAAGTCCGGGGGCAGCGAGCAGGTCGCGACCGGCGCCGGGCTCTCGCTGCGGGTTGGGGAGTCGCTGCCCGAGGCCGCCAGCAGTTTGGTCAGGCTATGCCTCATGGGGCCCGACGGCGGGCCCACGTAGGCCCCGGCCCCTCAGACCGGGCCTCGCTGGTCCCAAGGACCCAGAGCGGGTAGCCGGGCAGCAGGCCAGAACGAAATGAAGAGGAAGGTCCGAGTCGCCTCCCGCCCCACTTGGCTGGTCGACCCCCCGCGCCGGGGCGGGGGGGCGGTAAGCGGTGGAGGGAAGAGAGATGGAAGCGGCGAGGCCCAACGATGACTCGACCGCGCCACCCAGACAACGGCCTGGCCGGAAGTCAGTCGATCTCGTTCCAGCCCCTCCCACCGCATTTCGCGCTCCACCGGGCTCTAGTATCGCGAGAGTTCGAATGAGGTCTGGAGCTGGAGTATCTCCAGATCTCCAGTGATGTCATAGTAACAGCGGCAAAAATAACAACAAACCTGGGAATTATTGAAAAAGTGGTCGGCCCTCACTTCTCAATACTCTGTATTCTAGCTTCCACCTCCAGTGAAGCCAGTATCGCTCAGAATTGATCATTTAGATACCTAATTTTTGAATAATCTTCGTTATCCTGGAACTTAAGACTGCTGATCAGATTCTTCTTGGAATTGCTCCTTTGCCCTTTCGCTATATCACAAGATCTTTTCACTCAAACACTTATAGAGTACTAGAAGAAAAAAGAGGTGAATAAGTCATTCATATGTAATTTAATTTTTCCAAGTTTTTATTATAAAAATTTCCAAATATACAGAATATGTGAAAGAATATTACAGTATCCACTCTAATTCAACAATAGTACCCAATACCCAGACTCAACAATTCAACAATTAACATTTTGCCATATATGCTTTATCTGTATATAAGTGTTTGTAAAACATTTTTTTTTTTGCAGAATCATCCCAAAGTTGCAGACAAGACACACCACCCAAACATGCTGCAGTATGCACCTCTAAAGATAAGAACATTCTATTTCATAGTCATAATACTATTATCAGGTCTTGAGAAAATTAACAATCTTGCTAATATCTATTACCCATACCATATTCAAATTTGCTCAGCTTTCCTCAAAAATCATCTTTTATAGCAGATATGTTCTTTTGAACCAGGATCCAATCATGGCTCACTTATTGCATTCGACTGCTTTTTCCCCCATTTGTCAAACTAGAATAGTCCCTTCCACGTTTTAGTTTTTCTTAATATTGGCTTTCTGAAGAGACAAGGTCAGTTGTCTTGAAAAATGCACCACATTCTGGATTTGTCTGTTTCCTCATGGTGTTATTTTGTTCCTCTAGTCCCACAAGGTATTTCAAATTTGAAGCAGTTCACAAATACATTAGAATACAGTGAAACAACTCAAATTTTTACAGAGCAAGGCCAGTGAAAATATAGATGAAATAGGAAGATAAGGAGTTCTGAAAGGAGGAAAAGTTTGTATTATAATAGGATGGACATAAAATCTTACACAATTCCTCAAGTTGAGCTAACAATAGACTAAGCTTCCTGGTAACCCAAACAAATAAATAAACTTTCCTTTATTTGCTTATGAGTAAAGTATACATGAATTCCTCAACTACTTTTCCAGTTCTCATGTCTTAAAGAAACTTTTCTGTGGGATACTGAATAAAGTAACAGATAGCCTCACCAATAGCTACCTTTATATGGCTGTTTCTTAGAACGATAGAAAGCAAGTTCCAGGAAAGCTAGACACTGATAGGTTCCAATTTTCCAGAACAGCACCTGGCACAGGAGAGGCTTCAATAAATATTTGTTGAATGAATGAATGAAGACGGTCTCCAACTTTTAGCTGAAGGCATTACACAAAGCTCAACCAAATGAAAACAATTCTTCAAGGGGCACAAATAAGCATAACATATGGTATCTAGAAGAAGAAATAAGTGGCCTCCATGTCCTTCTTAACCTTCCTATTAGGAAAGGTTTTGCTAAAGTAGAACAGCAAACAGTTTGAGATAATAAATATTCTGGCATATTTTGATCTACAGGTGTTTTGTGTGGCTGGTAATCCCATCAAACTGCATTTTCTCCTTGGGCAAAATCAAGATCATGGATTGATTTATCATTTTTTCCCTAAATTACAAGATTTTGGATTAAATATACATTGTTTAAGAGCCTCTCCAATTAGATTAAGAGGAAAGTAGGAAACTGAAAGAGAAGAAAGTTTTTACAACGTAGCCTCAGAAGACAAAAAAATCAACTGAAGCAAGGGTAAAACTCCCAGAAAATGCCTTTCCCTCCCTTTCACCATTCCTCCCTTTTCTTCTCCTCATTCTTCTCATTCTCTCCTTCTTCAGAGTTGGTTTTTCTTTTTTCTGGTTATAATGATCATTGCAAAAGATTCAGATAGTGCAGAACTGTACAAATAAGTAGAAGGATATTACCCATAATCTACCTCAAAATAACTGTTGTTAAAATTTTGGTGTATAATAGAGTTTTTCTATGTACAGACATAGAACAACACATTGTTTATTTTAGTTCTTTGAGCTCTACTCTTTTGTGAGAGTAGACATCTTTTGTGGACATCTTTCATACAACTAAATATAGGTCCACATGCTTATTTTTATTTTTATTTTTCTTGCGATACGCGGGCCTCTCACTGTTGTGGCCTTTCCCGTTGCGGAGCACAGGCTCCAGGCGCGCAGGCTCAGCGGCCATGGCTCACGGGCCCAGCCGCTCCGCGGCATGTGGGATCTTCCCGGACCGGGGCACGAACCCGTGTCCCCTGCATCAGCAGGCTTACCCTCAACCACTGCGCCACCAGGGAAGCCCCTGGCTAAGTTTTTATACATAGGCCCTTATTACATATGGGAAGGTATCCCTTCCCAGTGGTGGTCACGGTATGTAGTTCCTATGCACTCATGAGAGTGGATTTGTTCTTTTTAGAACGTGCCTATCCGAAAATTAAAAGTGATATCCTTTTTTGTGAATGTGCATTTCTTTGATTATTAGAAGGTTGAATGTTTTTCACATGACCAATTGATTTCTAATGTGAATAGCCTTTTTACCTCCTTAGCCCATTTTTCTCTGAGGTAGGAGAAAATGTTTTTCAGGGAAAATATCTGTCTTTTTCCTTCTTGATTTATATGAACTCTTTGCATTATAAGGAAAACATACCTTTGTCTCTTATATATTTTACAATTTTTCCCCCAGTTGATCATTTACTGGGGGAGGAAAGGGGTAAAAACTTCTTGTTTTGCTATAATTTTTAAATGGTCAATCTATCAAAATTTTCTTCCTGGTTTCTGGCTTTGATGTTAAGCCTAAAAAGGCTTTATTAGCCTAAATAATACTGATATTTACCTACATGTTTTAGAACTTCTTTAATTACTTCTATTTATAATTTACTAAGAGTTTTTAACAAGTGATTATTTCGTTTAGCTCCAAATGGAATTTATTCTAGTATAAAATGTGACATAGGAATATAATTTTTTCAAAAAGTTATTTGCCACAATATAATTTATTGAACAATTCATACTTGCCACACTGATTTCCCAACATGTATACCAGATATTAAATTCTTACATAAAGTTGAATCTATTTCTGGTCTTTTTCTTCTATTTCATTGATCAGTCTAACCATTCTGGAAGCAAAATCACTACATTTTTATGCAATTTTATAATATATTTTAATATGTCATAGGACAAGTCCTTTTTGGTTAGTCTTACTTTTCAGAATTTTTAATCTCTATTTGAATATTTATTCTTCCAGATAACTTTATAAAATTTTCCAAGTTCAAAAAAAAGCTGGAATTTTCATGAAAATTGCATTAAATTTATTTTTCCCAGTGACTTCATGCATTTTTTTCCTACTGGACTAAATTATGTCTTCTTTTATATTTTCTAAATGGTTATTGTTGCTACATAGGAAAGCTATTTTTTTTTTGTTTAATTTTTAACTGACTTACCCACTCAACTTTCTTAATAGTTTTTATTTTTAGCTTATTCATTCAAATTTCCCTGGTAGACAATTATATCACCTTATTATATATAATGACAATTTTGGCTCCTTCTTTGCAATACTTATTTCGTTATCTTGACTTAAAATGAAACAGCATTTCCAGATCGATATCAAATAATGCTGTTAATAACCAACTTACTTGTCTTATTCCTGACTTTAGCAGGAATGCCTCTAGTGTTAGTTGTTGCTTTGAGATGGGTATTTTTATTTGGTTAAGCTCAGTTGCAGGTAACAGAAACCAATTCAGCTATTTTAAGCAGAAAAAGATGTAATACAGAGAAGGTGTTTACAAAGTAATTGGAAGGACTGGAGGAGTGGGCATTAGGCTGGGTGATCAAGAATGCCTCTCAGTACAATGTGGCCAAACAGGCCTGATAGGTCACTGCTATCTCTGCCCCAGTTGGGAAAGTTGTAAATAGAAAGCTGGAATGTTAGCTTCAAGAGCACCGCTGCTGCCAAAACTCTCAACCTGTTGTATTAATTATCTATTGCTGCCTAAAAAGTTACCCCAAACCTAAAAACATCAATAAAACAACAATAAACATGTGCTTATTGTTGCAGCTTAAAATAACAATAAACATTTGTTATCTCTGGCGGTTTCTATCAGTCAGAAATCTGTAAGTGCCTTGGCTATACAACTTAGCTCTGGAATTCTCATGGAATTCAGCCAGATTTTGGCCTGGGCTGGAGTCATCTGAAGGCTTGGCTAAAACTAGAGGATCCACTTCCAAGGTGGCTGACAGGTTGCTCCTGGGGGAAGCATCAAAAGAAAGAAAGGGGGCTTCCCTGGTGGCGCAGTGGTTGGGAGTCCGCCTGCCGATGCAGGGGACGCGGGTTCGTGCCCTGGTCCGGGAGGATCCCACGTGCCGCGGAGCGGCTGGGCCTGTGAGCCATGGCCGCTGGGCCTGCGCGTCTGGAGCCTGTGCTCCGCAACGGGAGAGGCCACAACAGTGAGAGGCCCACGTACCGCAAAAAAAAAAAAAAAAAGAAAGAAAGAGAGGAAGAAAAGAAGGACTAATTCGAAAAGATACATGCACCCCATTGTTCATAGCAGCATTATTTATGACAGGCAAGATATGGTAGCAACCTAAGTGTCCATCAACAGATGAATGGCTATATACATATATATACGAATGGATATATAATATATACATATTTATGGCTGGTATATTACTCAGCCATAAAAAGAATGAAATTCTGCCATTTGCAACAATGTGGATGGACCTAGAGAGTATTATGCTTAGTGAAATAAGTCAGAGAAAAATACTGTATGTTATCAATTATATGTGGAATCTAAAAAAGTAAACCAAACTAATGTATATAACATAACAGAAACAGACTTACAGATACAGAAAACAAACTAGTTGTTACCAGTAGGGAGAGGGAAGGGGCAAGGGTCAAGATAGAGGTATGGGATTAAGAGATACAAACTACTATGTATTAAATAGATAAGCAGCAAGGGTATATTGTACAGCACAGGGAATTACAGCCATTATTTTTGTAATAACTTTAAATGGAGTAAAATCTGTAAAACTATTGAATCACTATGCTGTACATCTGAAACTAATATAATATTGTAAATCACCTATAATTGATAGATGATTGATAGATAGATAGAACTAGTGAATGAATACTAGGATGAAAACCCAATGTCTTCAAGAATGTGCTTGGCAGCAAAAACAGCCAAAGCAGAGGGAAAGGATCCCTGCCTCATTTGCATCTTTCAAATATAACTGCAGAGGTGTCTGGCAAATATAATTTGTTTTTGTGTTTCTTTTGTTTTAGTTTTTCCATTTGTGCCATACAGGAAAGCACATTAAAAATGATGAATTGGGAGGCTTCCCTGGTGGTGCAGTGTTTGAGAATCTGCCTGCTAATGCAGGGGACACGGGTTCGAGCCCTGGTCTGGGAAGATCCCACAAGCCGCGGAGCGACTGGGCCCGTGAGCCACAACTACTGAGCCTGCGCGTCTGGAGCCCGTGCTCCGCAACAAGAGAGGCTGCGACAGTGAGAGGCCCGTGCACTGCGATGAAGAGTGGCCCCCGCTCGCCGTAACTAGAGAAAGCCCTCGCACAGAAACGAAGACCCAACACAGCCAAAAATAAATAAATAAATTTATAAAAATAAATAAATAAATAAAAATGATGAATTGGGAGATTGGGATTGACATATATACACTAATATGTATAAAAAAATGGATAACTAATAAGAACCTGCTGTATAAAAAAATAAATAAAATAAGATTCAAAAATTCAAAAAAAAAACCCACCCACATTAAAAGAGGGACTGAAATACATTATGAGTACCAATCTATCAAATCCTCCACAAAGACCATGACTTTATGGTACTTCATCACCAATACATACATTTATTGGCTTTCCTATAACAGAGGGTTGGCGTAGGGATGGTAGGGAATGCAGCTGAATCAGGGTTGGGATTTTGCTGAATAGATACAGCAGAAGGATAAGAGTGCTACAGAGGCCGGAGTGCTCATTTTAATATAGTTTGCCTATGCACTCATGAAGTATAATCTGTAAAAGGTAGGAACTAAGACCATGAGAGGATTTTTATGATTGGATGAACATTAAAGACTCAAAAGATTGATATTGTCTAGGGTACTACAGGATTATGTTTACAAGTGCTACATATTTGCACGGACTATGTTCAATTCTCAGTGTGCTAGCTGTATTTCCATTCCTTTCCTCTCAAAAAACCATTTCTGAATGTAAATGAATGAGAATTATAGTATTGTGGACTAATCTGGAATCTGATTTATTTTACTTTAAAATGACCAACATTTGTAACCAACTAAAATAGTAACCAATTACTGGTATGCCTCCCAACTAATCAAGCCCACAGTTGCAGCCCCTGAAGTTGAGATTTGCTGCTCTGTTGGGGAAAGGGAGAGCAGGTGTAGAGGAAGTTTGGGCATTAGAGATTTGGAAGGGTAGGACCAGAGCTTTTCGTGTTCTGTTGGGAAGGACTCCACTTCTCAGGTGGGAAATTGTCTTATCTCTCACCCCAGGCACCCCAGAGCCGGACCTTGGCTGAGCTGCTCTTGCTTCCCATTGCCAGTTTCAAATCATTTCTCTTCCTCTCTCCTTCACAAACCTGAGCTCTTTATTAACTTTGATTTTTTAAATATTGAAAATCTGCAATCATACAGAGCTAGAGAAAAAAGTATGCTGAGTCCCTTGTATGCTCCTCCAAATTTAAGAATTATTAAAATTTTGCCACACTTGCTTCATCCCCCTGCCTTTTTTTCCCCCTGAAATATTGTAAAATAAAAATCCTTGACATATGTCATTTTATCCCTACACACATCACTATACATTTTTAACAATAAGGTCATTATTTCTGTAACCACAGTGTCATGATTGCAACTAGTCAAATTATTATGAATTTCTTGGTATCATCTAACCCCAGTCAATATTCAATTGTGTCAAAAATTTCCAGCTACAGATGGCTTGATTGAATAAGGACCCAAAGAATTCTAATACATTCCTTGTATCTCTCAAACCTCTTTTAATCTAAGACAGCATTCCTCCACCCCTTTTCACCAATGCCATTTGATTTTCTGAAGAAGCCAGGTCAGTTGTCCTGTTCAATGTCCCATTATTCTATATTTGTCTGTTTGCTTTCTGGTACTGTTTTACTTTCCCCTCACCCCCATATTTCCTGTAAGCGGGAAGTTAGTTCTCAGGGCTTAGTTAGCTTAAGGTTCAACATTTTTGGCCGGAATACTTCCAAGGAGGTGCTGCTCTTCATGGCGAGTCACCTCAGGAGGCATATAACATCTAGCTTTCCTGTTTTTAGTGATGCTAAGATTGATCAATGTTTTCAAATGGTGACAGTAAAATTCTCCATTAACCTTTCTCCTAATGGTTTCATCTAATGATGATCAGTGCCTGAATAAATTATTTCACTACTTTTATTACCTGGGATTCTTTTATTATCTGGGATTTTTCAGTGAAAAGCAACTTTATCTCACCACGTATGGGCCATTTCCCCTGTGAAATACAGGGGATAGGAAAAGTAGGATAAATGCTCACTCACTGAAAGCTTTAGCTCTCTGATTTCCTCTTCACCCAGTAAGATCTTATTTAAGGATACCCAGTAAGTGACATGATTTGAAACAAGGCAGTCTGATGCCAATGCTCCCCTTCACTCACTGCACTAATACCTTGACTAGTTTTTGATCACAGATTTGGGTTTCTAAAGGGCATAGTGAAAGGATTTGAGTGGGGTAGGGCATGGGGAGGATTGAGCTAAGATTTCTGACAGGGATGGAGATAAATATGGATGTGAGCATAATTGGATTAATCTAGCCAGAGTCTCTTGTTAGAGTCTACTGTGAGTGCTTATTCTGCAGCCCTAGATGGTGTGGCTATTGTGAAAGCAGTTTTCTTACCAAGAACAGGAAGTGCTATGAAGGCTTCTGAGCTTCTTTTTAATGTTTTCCTCCTCTCTGCTCTTGGACAATTCTTATACATTATATAGGCTTTAACTTAAATGCCACTTCTAGGAAAAGCTTTCCCTAACCTCTTCTACCTTATGTTAAGAAACCCTGCTATGCACTCCCATGTCATCCAATCCTTTAGCATTTTCTTCTTACCCACTAGGATGCAGATTCAGCGAGGATAAGGTCTCTGCGTCGCTCACGTTGTGCCCAGCATTTAACATAGTGCCTAGACAATAATAGGATCTCAATAAATATTTGTTACATTAATGAGATATATTAAATAAATTAGTTATTAATTAAAATTGAATATCAGAATGGCTTGGCCTGCCCTACCTCTACATCTTTTTTTGTCTGTTAGGGCAAAACCAAAAACCAACACCCAAAGCCTAAAAACTTGAATAGATGAGAAAATAGGCTTTCCAAAATCTAAAATTTAGGTCTCACACAGACATGTGAAAACCCATGAGAAAAGTTAATACATTTAAATCTTTATACTTAGGAGAGAAATAGGAATCATAGGAGGCACTCCTTAGGGTAGAAAAAGATACTGTCATTAGCCGTATGTGGCTGAACATTAATGAAATCAGCAGCTTCCAGCTGAATGGCCTGACCCAGATCTGTCAGGCCATATTTGGCTCTATAGAAAATATGTCTTGTCTACTCAGTTCTTGGGGAAAGAAAAATCTGTAGGCTTTTTGAGTCATCTGCACAGAAATACAGCTTATTGGGAAGCAATTATGCAGAAGATATTTTTTGTTTTTAATTTTAATATACATGTGCATATATATATATTTTTTTGGGGGGGGGGGCGGCTGTGCCATGCACCTTGTGGGATCTTAGTTCCCTGACCAGGGATTGAACCCAGGCCCTCGGCAGTGAAAGCACAGGGTTGTAACAACTGGACTGCCAGGGAATTCCCAATTTTACTATATTTTTAAAGAGGTGATATATTCACATGGTTCAAGAGTCAAATGATACAAAATGGGATAAGTTGAGAAGTTTCCTTCACACTCCCATCCTTTACCAGCCCTGTCCCCACACTCATCCACACCACTAATAAACACTTTCTTTTTAGCATTTCTTTTTTCCAATATTTATTTATACAGATGGGAGTACATATGTTTACATTCTTATCCCCCCCATTCTCTCCCCCTTACACAAAGTAATATATGATATTCTGCACCCTGTTTGTTTTTTTTAATAAATTTATTTATTTTTGACTGCGTTGGGTCTTTGAGCTGTGCGCAGGCTTTCTCTAGTTGTGGCAAGCAGGAGCTACTCATTGTGGTGGTTTCTCTTGTTGTGGAGCACGGGCTCTAGGCTCTTGGGCTGTAGAGCGCAGGCTCAGTAGTTGTGGCACACGGGCTTAGTTGCTCTGCGGCATGTGGGATCTTCCCGGACCAGGGCTCAAACCTGTGTCCCCTATATTGGCAGGCGGATTCTTAACCACTGCACCACCAGGGAAGTCCCTGCACCCTGTTTTTTTCCCCTACATATATCCTGGAGATATTTCTATTATCAGTGTACAGAGAGCTTCCTTTTTCTTTCTTCCTTTTTCTTGCTTTTCTTTTTTTTTTTGCATTTGCAATGTATTCCAAGGTATGGAGGGCCCACAGTTTATTTAATTGTTTCCATATTGATGGTATGTAGGGTATTTCCAATCTTTTGCTATTACAAACAATTCCGTAATGAATCATCTTAAACATGAAAGGGAAGATTATTTTACACCAGTGCAAATAAGAGTGGATTAGAAGCATTAAATAGGGAGAGTCTGACAAATAGCTAGGATAAGTCCCTTTGTTGAACTGAGGAGTGAGGGGGTTGGAGAAGGGGCATTGTAGTTAGTTGAATGTGTAATGAATGACCAGGGAGTTCTGTCCAAGGGGAAATTTTTTTCTTGGATTAGTTTTTGCCAAATGGGATAAACAGAAGGTTTGAAAAGAACAACATCAAGTAGCCCTAGGCCCTTACATTTAATAAGATGTTCTTAATGTTTGGAAAATAATATCCAGTTTGTCCTTAAGGAGATGGAAAAATAATTAGAAAAGTCCATTCTTGGCCACCTCCCAAAATTCCAACAACTTTTTTAAGAGGCTGAGATTGAAAGAAAAAAAGACTCCCTGCCTGATAAAGCCCTGTCAATCTAAGTAGATGTGGTACAGCAGACACTGTTGGTGGCCCACCCAACATCCATCTCCCTTCATCCTCTCTGGCAAAGCCCTGCTTTTGCCAGGTAGCCCCATGTGCTATATACCACAGAGATTGGCTTCATTCCTATCCTATCCAGGATCCAGGCAGATCCTGATTGGTCCAAGTCAGTCATGGTGGCAACATTGCCCATGAAGATGTTTGGTTGGGGTATTTGCATATGGCCCAATTTTGGCCAATAATAATGAAGACAAGTCATCTGGTCAGCTTTGGGGAGAGTAGTTAGGGTCGTGGCCCTTTTTCCTTTATTCATGTGCCAAGAGGTAGTATCTCAAATGTCTGCCCAGTTCTCTTCATCTTGTCATAGTGGGGAAGAGAGAATCATTCCTGCCCCGACCCAGCCACCGCTACTCCACAGGTATCTGAGTCAATGAGGGCTGGATAGAACAGCAAGCACCCGCGCAGGTATTCCTTCAAACAATGTTCTTTAAAGGCTTAACTTCAATGTAGTGGAGTTGGGGAGAAATAGATTTTCTATCAATACTTTGTTCATTAGAAACAAATTAACTTCAGTTAATTTTCACTAAGTGAAACAGAGACAGTGTTGTGAAGACATCAGCCAGTCAGTTCATTTTTCCTGTAGTTCTCCTTCCTTTTCTAGCTCTCTTTGATTTTTTTTTGAACCAGACAAGTTCCTTAGAGGCACACTGAAGGGCTTACAGTGTAGGTAACACAAAAGATCACACTTAGCTACACAGCACTAGTCACACGTTATTTGGTTTTAGAATCTCTGTTCTATGGATTTTCATTTTAGGGTTACTGCTTGTGGATGCCACAGACAAATTCACTGGGGGTCTAGGTCTGCTTTAGAAAGTTTTGTTGTTTTGTTTTTAAATTTCTCCTCAAGGGCAGTAATTTGGAGGTGGCTGATTTACATTTTGACAGTTTGTTCCAATGATAAGCATGGCTTTACAGATGAGCATACCACAATAACTAATCTAGTTGCCCATGCCCTAATCTGGTCTGGGTCACAGATTAAATACGAGATAAGCACTGAGAGTGGAATTACAAAGTGCTGTGGAGCACAGAGGGGGAAAAAAAACCCAAACAAACAAACAAACAAAAAACGTTGCCCTTTTGTGGCTGGTTAGAAGGTGGTTTGTATACTGGGAAAAAGCATGGGTTTTAGAGCCAGAAAGCAGGTCCAGCTACATAATTTGCTGTGCCCAGCATAAAATGAAAAGGTGGAGCCCCTTGCCACACAATTATTAAGAACCTCAAGGCAGCAGCAGTAGAACCAAGTGCAGGGTCCCCGTGCAGGTGGCACGCCCATGAAGCCGGTCCTCCCAGAGGGGCTTGGGTTCAAATCTCACCCCTGCCACCCCAAAACTTGCTGGCTTTGGGTGAGTCACCCTCTCTCTCTGTGTCTCATTTTTATCTATGAAATAGTGATAACTGAACCTCCCTTGAAGAGTTGGTATGAGGGTGACATGAAAAGCACTTGACACGTGATAGGTTCACATTACTCTTACTTTCTTCCTTTGTGTTGTGGGCTCCTTTCCTCAGCTGTTCTCTAGGCATCCATCTTTAACCTTCTATTCTCATTACCCACTTTCTTTTCAATATCTTTCAAAAGGGTATTAGAGTGAGCATTATGAAATGGCCCACATCTAATCATTTGTAACCTACAAAGTGGCAATTTTATATGGTTCAACCTAACACAAACTCCTTAGCATGACTGAACAGTATTGTCCTTAGACCCGGGCAACTGAGACCCTTTCTTTGCGCCCACGTTTTAGGGAGCATGCACCTTACCCATCCCCCATGCTCTTCCAGACGCACCCTTCCCTCCTAATGAAGAGCCCAGGTGGCAAGTCCTCTACTAGCCCACACTCCTGTACGAGGATCCTAGAATTCCCTGCTCAAATGGCCCTCAGGACCCGCTTGGCCTTTGCCCAGGAGCCTCTTCCTCCTCCTCGCAGGCTGGGCACAAAAGTTGAATGGGAGAGATCACCACCCCACCCGACAGCTGTTTGGGCGGAGCTTGCACGGGCCAGCGTGGGTGGAGGAGGGGGCAGGAAGAGAGGCTGGCACGCATGCGCACCAGTCTCTTCGCTAATCCGCCCGAACCTGCATGGGAGGCGGAAGAGGGCTCGTCTGTGGCTCCTGTTTGTGCACTTGCCAGTCTCCTCCCGCCTCTCTTCTCTTATTTCTATCTGTAGAGATGCTTCTCCGCACCTCCTCCCAACTACTTATGATTTCCAAGTATTCTGGACATTTTTTAAAACCTCTGTGACTTTCTACACGATGCTGTCTGAAATCTTTCTCCCTTTTCAATACCTGATAAAATTCTACTAGTTATTTAAGAACCAGCTTATATATCAACTTCTGTGTTAGTCACCCCGGGCAATCCTCTCTACCATCCCAACCCTTACCCTCAGGCTTTTAACTGGTGTGTGTGTGTGTGTGTGTGTGTGTGTGTGTGTGTGTTTTACCCGCTGTGATCTCATAACACCCCTTGTGAAAACACATTACACTGTATGTGACTGCTCTTTTGCCCCTGGGCTAGACTGTGTGGGAGCTCTTCCAGGGCAGAAAACATGCTTCTTCATGCTTATTCTCAGTGCCCACCCCCAGAGCTTGGTACTCAGTAGACAGTCAATAAATCTTTCAGTGTGATGTTGTCATCAAAATCCCAGCTCCCCAGGGACCAACTGGCCTTGAGCAAATTACTGAATCTTAATTTCCTCTTCTTTGAAACAGAAATGAACACTATTACCTTCTTCAGTGTTGTTAAGGATTAAATAACACAATATATTGAAAGTGCTTCAGTTCAATGATAAATAGTATGGACTCAGTAAAGGGTAACCTTAATCAGCTCCTATATATTCTGATTCTCGGTAATGTGTAAGAGGAAGTAAATAGTCCTTTCATGCCAGCAAGGTGGATCCTTGGAATTTGTATTTAATACCACAATCTTAATAGAACTGTGAGAAAATAGGTTTTAAAAATTGCTTTAGGTAAGGCAAGTGATGCTTAAAATTGTTTATTAAAAAGGTACCAAGTAATATTTTTTAATAAATTCAAATCATTAGGTAACTCTTGGCACTCTTGGCACTAAATGGGTGAGAAAAATACTACACTGCAATCTATTTTGGGAAGTATTCATAATAATGCTTCTATGTCAACTAAATACAGGGAAATAAGGAAGCATAAAGTGTAGTTTTACATCTACCTCTTTAAGAACTTTGCATAAATATAATAACTATTATCTGTTTTTATCATTACACATTTAAGTATTCCTACAAAAATGATGTAAGTATACATATATACATTCCATTTAGATGGGTGTTTTTATAAAATGAAAGAGTTGCAAGAAAGTATGTTAATAGAAACACAACAATCACTATGTGTTGCTATAGGTATCATATCCAGTGTGCTATGATCTATTACCCCAAACTGGGGACTTTTGTCTATTAGCATATTGTGCAATATTAAATGAAACTACTGATATTTGCTTTTTTGTACCTCTAAATCCTGTTTTTATTAAGGAGAAAAACCAAGAAAATGGAATGTGATCTAAGCTTGCAGGAAATATTAAAATGGGTTGATTTTACTTACTTGAATCTTATTGCTCATATAGACTGACTATAATAAAGTTTGCCTACTTTGGAAAAGAATTTAACTGACTATAATAAAGTTTGCCTACTTTGGAAAAGAATTTAATGAGCTCAATTTTTGTTCTCCGAGCTAGTGCGACTAAAATAAAATTGAAAGGATACTGCCATAAAGCAGGTGAAGCAAGCAACTGTTTGGTCTGTTGCAAAATCAGACACTTTTCTGCAGGTTATCCATGCTATTAATATGCTATTAACTGTTATAGCTTACAGTCTCAACTACGGGAGATTACAAGCCTACCTATCTACAAGGGCTAATTATGCTAGTTTTTTCTTTTCACAGTAACACATCCCATTGCACTTTTAAGATTCACTCAAGGGGACTTCTCTGGCGGCGCAGTGATTAAGAATCCGCCTGCCAATGCAGGAGACATGGGTTCGATCCCTGGTCCGGGAAGATCCCACATGCCGCGGAGCAACTAAGCCCGTGTGCCACAACTACTAGACTGCACTCTAGAGCCCTCGAGCCACAACTACCGAGCCTGCGTGCCTAGAGCCCGTGCTCTGCAACAAGAGAAGCCATCGCAATGAGAAGCCCGCACAGCGCAACAAAGAGTAGCCCCCGCTCACCACAGCTAGAGAAAGCCCGTGTGCAGCAATGAAGACCCAACACAGCCAAAAATAAATAAATTAAAAAAAAAAAAAGATTCACTCAAGTCCATAATGGCTGCTAATTTTAAAACTTAGGACACATGAAGATACCTGGGGTTGAGAATGAATGAGTTATGGGGGAGGTGGAGATACTGATAGCAAACTTAGGGAGATTTCAAAGGCACAGAAAGAAATTTGGTTAATCTCGTGTATTCTAGGTGGTAGGACTGAAAATTAGTGTTATCCTGACAATGGCAACAACAATGTCATAGTAAAGTAGTTTTTCTTTGAGTGGTCTCTTGTACTTAAAGGTAGAATAAATGGAATCCCATCTTTACTCTTGCCACAAGGCACAAATACTTGATTTCTAAATTGGAGGCCAGAGGAACCAGAAGCTTCCTTATGGAAAGAGATGGCGGAGTTTGGCGTTGAGTTCTCTCTCCTTGCTTAAAAGATCCAGGCTGTGCTTTTTGAAGGCTTCTGACTGCAGCCTGAGTTCATCGTAGGCCTTCTGGATCCCATCTAGCCTGCGCTGGAGTTCCCGGACTCTCAAGTTACTGTCCACGGCCACTGCCTCTTGTTCAAACCGCTCTAGCGCACGCCTCCTGGCCACATCGGCCGTCTCCAACTTCTCCTCAAGCTGGCGGATCTCTGCTTGCTTGTTCTGAAGCACCTTGCCCCTCTCCATGGACAGCTGCAACAGCTCGTCTTTCTCACAAGTGACGGTCTGCAGCCTGGCCTGCAGCTCCCGGTTCAGCTGGCTGTGTGCCTCCTCGGCCTTGGCCATCTGCTCCATGGCCTGTTGGTGCTGCTGCTTGAGGCTCTGCAGCTGGTTGCGCAGCTGCTCTGTGTCCTTGGTGTGGGCGCAGGCCTGCTGGCTCTGGAACAGCTCCAGCAGTTCCTTCTCTCGGGCCTGGGCCTGGCAGGCTTCCTGAGCGCTCCTCTGTTTCAGAGACTCCAGCTCCTTGGTGAGGGCCTCACTCCGGGCAGTGAGCTGCAATACTTTGGCCTCCTGGTCCTTCAGAGCCTGGCTGAAGAGGTGGTCATTCTCCATCCTCAGCTTCTCATTCTCCTCTCTCAGCTTGATGTTCTGACTTTTGTGTTCGTCCTTGAAGCGGATCATCAACTCATGGTTGGCTGCCAGGGTCATAAAGCGTTCCTCCAGCCTCTGGGCCTGCTCGCTCTTGGCCTTCAGCTTCTCAGCATCCTGCATCCTCTTCTCCTCCAGCTCTGTGTTGAGCAGCTCCAGGATCCGGCAGCGCTCCAGGGCCTCGTCTGACCTCCGCTTCAGGATGCAGATGAGCTGGGACTGCTCCTGGATGCGGGAGTACAGCTTCGCCTTCTCACTCTTCTCCTCTTCGGACAGTCCCCGGAGGTTTGCCAAGGCTTCCCTCAGACCATCCAGTTCCTTAAACTCCATCTCCTCTTCCTGGTTTTCTAGATTTTTGTTTTGCTTATCTAAGGGTTCTTCAGAGGGTGGGGTGTCCATCCTGAGAGCCGTCTCTTCCTGAGGCATCAGCACTCTCCTCTACTGTCGGCTGACTGCACGGCCTCCCCCTCCAGATTTCAAAAGCCACGGTGTTGCTAGGGACTCCTGGCAATGTCTAGCAGTCGTTTTTTTCACCCAGTAAGGAGCCCTGTGATTGGTGGACAGGTCTTCAGAATGCTGTGAAGTAACCACAGGGGGACTCCGGTGAGTCCAGAACCAATCTGGTCAGGTTATACTTGCCTATCTAACCAGTCACAGCTCTCAGCCCAGTGTCTGGCCTGTACTGTACAGAGACGCCAAGTCCACCTGATTTCCAGCCAGCATCAGGGGAACAAGTCTGACTCCACATAATTTCTTGTGGGAGTAAACAATCAAGCAGTGGTGACATATTCTTCTTCCCTCTCCCGGCTTCAGTGGTCATGAGAATAAAGTCCTCTCTGTGGAAAGTGTTGGCTCCTTAAAAAATTTGCAATCTATAAATACAAAGTAGCAGTAGTACTCTGAGAGCGGTGATCCTAAATGGCTGTGAGTTTGTACCTGTAGTGTTTAACACACCTCAGAGAAAGAGCAAACCCCAGAGAAATTTCTTTCGTTTCCCGAAGCATTGTCCCCAGCTGGGAATACATTTTATTAGCTATTCAGCACTCCCTGTTTTACCCACTGGCACAATAGGGTTACAGAGAAAAGCTTAATGGACAATATGGACGTGATAAACATTAAAACAGAAAAAAGAATCAAATGAGGCTTACCTTATACACACCAAAGTCAATTCCAGATGGATTAAACAGTTAAATGTAAAGACTAAAATGAAAACAAAGTATTAAAAATGGAAACTAGAGGAAAACAAAGGTAAGTATTAAAGTTCTGGGTCAGGAAGGACTTTCTTAGCTTAAATATTATGTAAGAGATGAATAAGGTAACACTCAATTTGACTTAAACATCTAAAGTTATATATAATTTAAAAAATTATGTGACTCTGAGGTCTGGAGCCCCTTCTTTCTCAAGACCTGCCTGACGTTTTAGTTTTATTCCCTAGCCTAACACCAGCTATTGACGTTTCCCTAGCAGGCCCTGTCTGTAGGTGTTCCCTCTGCCTGGAATGCTTTTTTCCACTTTGTCCCTTGTCGCTCTAGTAATTTACCCAGCATTTTATACTTAGATAAGAATCACCTCCTCTGTGAAGCCTCTCCTAGCCGGTAAGTGTAGACGTGACCACTCACCTCTTTTAGTGTGGCCACTCTAGTCTATTTGTACTTCCAACAGAGCATTTGAAAGCCTTACTGCACTCATCATTTACTCCCCTGCCTTCCCCTGTTAAACTCTGAGATCCTTAGGGGCAGGAACTGTGTCTGTTTCATCCTTGATGACTAGACCAATGCCTTGGGGAGACTCAGATAAATATGTGTTGAATGGATGTTGAAGGCAAAAATCGAATAGAGAAAACTATCCACCATAAATATGACAGACAACAGATTTATATTTTTACAAAGAGCCTGTACAAATCAATAAAGCGTTAACATCTTAAAAGAGAAATAAACAATTGAATTCACAGATGAGGGGACAGAAATGGCCAAGAATTGAACCCTATCAGGGATCCAATAAATATAAGTTAACATTAGATATCATTTCATCTATCAAATTAGTCAAAAATTTTCCCCTTCTTTTAAGATGACCCAGATACCTGGTATTTAAGATACCTGGTATTATTATTTAAGATACCTGGTAAGGGTATAGTGAAATAGGTGCTCTCTTATACCATGGTAAAAGTCAATTGATGTATTGAGAACTTAAAACACCTTTATGCCTTTTGAATTAATGATTGTCCGTCTGGGGGAGATCTTTGCTGAAAGAAAGGCCTTTTTCTGAAAGAAAAAGTTTTGCTCCAAGTGTGGTTTATAACGGCTAAAAGTTGGAAACCAAAATGTCCAAAAAAGAGAAAATTTAAAGAAAATTATGGTATTTTCATATAATAGAATATTATGTAGACATTAAACATTATCATGTTTATAGGTAATTTAATGGCATGGAAATACTTGTGTTTGAAAGATAATTGAAAAAAGAGAGATAAAAGAGTTAAAATTTAGAATGATCTTAATGATGTGAAAACTTAAGCACAGAGCAAAGAGTTAGCTATTCCTGCAATCACTGTTAAGTCTGTGGTCAGACTTAATTTCTCAAGTCATGATGATAAGGAAAAAGCCTGGGGTGTTACTATACATGGATGGATTTTTAAATGCTTCAGATTTCACTTAGAGCAAAATAGATCTGAAAGAAGAGTTTGAGATTTTTGCTTTGGTCTCAAAGATCAGGATCTCCTGTCCCAAATCCTGAATCTGTCTATCAGGGAAAGCTTTCACCAGCAAAAGGCTCGGAAAATCTCCTGAACTAAAATTTTAATAACTTAAATTGTAGGTTATTTAGGGTTTATGAAAGTGAATTAAAAAATGTGAGTGAAACTTATTTTTAATTTCCCCCTCACATCTCTTCTTCACTTTTCCTTCAATTTCAAGCTTCGTATACTGAAATGGAACTTGAAAAGTTGAGGCAAGTGACTAGAAAATTAGAATAGTCCTCTTCATTTAAATAAAAGGGTCAGACATACATTGAAAATTTTATTTGCTGATTATCATATATGGTTGTCTGATGTAGTAAAGTGAATTCACAGAATATGTTTCCTAAGAAAAGAAAAGAAAAGAGGAAAAATACTCAAGATGTTAATAGCAGTTGTTTCTTGAGGATGAGCTTACGGACGCTTTCCCCTCTCTTTGTACCTAAGTCCCTTGCACATAATGGCTGCTCAATGAAATCTGTTGATTAAATACATTTTCTACATTAGGAATATTTTATATATCTCTTCTACATTAAAATTATTTTAAATATTAAATTCATAGATCACTTGTCAAGGTTAAGAATCTCAAAAGATCCTAATCAGTATTCATTCACTGATTTATTCAACAAACATTTGTAATGTATGGTGCGGGGCTAGATGCTAAGTATACATTAATAAATTAGGTATATCACTCTTCTCAGAAACTTTCAGTTTAGTAATAATGACTTTTGGCTCCTTTCTGCCATGGTTTTCTTTGTTATGCCATTTTCCCCCCTACCTTTGACCCTGAAGGTATCCAGTATATATTCCAGAGGTCCAAGTCATGAGCCTTGGCCAATGTTCTCCCTAGTGGTGACCAACGAGTTCCCTCCACTTGTCTTTGTTAAGTCTTTTAACATCTCCTTTTTAAAGCTGCTATTTACAGAGTTCTTCTATATGCCCTACATAGTACTAGGCATTTGTACATCTTCTCTCATTTAATTCTGACAATATTCTTGAAACATAGGCATTATTATCCACATTTTATAGTTGGCAGGGAACAAAGAAACTAATGCACAGAGAGGTTAAGTTGTCCCAAGTCACTCAGAGAGTAAGTGATAGAGACAGAATTCAAACCCAGATTTTTTGATACTGAACCCCATGGTCTTTAGTTCATCATTCATTCATTTGCTTAATCATTCATTCGTTCAATTCACATACTGAGAAACTGTTATGTCCAAGGTTTGCAGTCCCAGTTCTTAAGATAATTACCATCTAATGATGGAGACAAATAATAGAAAAACAGCAATTCAGTATGATAACTGCTAACATAATCATGGATCAATTGGACACATCACTCTTCTCAAAGAATAAAAATAGGGGCACAATGATCTGAAATCTGATCCCACATCCTGACTGAGGTGTTGAATGTGAAGAGTGAGAGTCTTCTTTTTGTAAGGCTGAAGAAGAACCAGTTCTTTAGGAACAAGTCAGCCAAGGAAGTGGAAGGAATGTTCTGTGATTGGATCAAATGTGTGGGAGCATTTGTTTTGTAAAACAAACTAGTGAAATTAGTGAATGAGCCTGCGGGGGAGTGGAGACAGGAGAGGAAATAGGAGAGTAATCCCAAAGGAGAATGGGGATTCTTCTTGGGACAAGAATTCTTCTTGGGACAACTTAACCTCTCTGTGCTTTAGTTTCTTTGTTCCCTGCCAACTATAAAATGTGGATAATAATGCCTATGTTTCAAAATATTGTCAGAATTAAATGAGAGAAGATGTACAAATGCCTAAGAGTACAAGAGAAGGCAGATGTTCGGGGACTTTTTACTTAGATGGTGAGTATGGATGAGAGATGTACAAAGAAGTCCAAGCAAGTTCCCTGGACGTAAGCCTAGGCTAACAGTAATCATGCTTTGGTGGGCTCCTAGGCCATGTGAACAGGTTATGCAGTTCCCAGGATCCTCACCATCTACTTAAAAGCTGCAGCAGTCATGATGGTTGGGGAAATTTCGGCCTCCCTGGAAACAGTCAGCAGTGACTCTTTGGAATATTATTTCATTTTTTAAATAATGGAATTTTGAAGCATTTTCACCAAAGGGGGAAACAAATTACATGGCTACCTAGCTCTTGATTTCTCCAGTGCCCATGTGTATGATACCCTATTCTTCTGAAAATGGATCACCTCTCCCTGGCCACAGGGCGGACACATAATCCACGCAGGGCCAAGCATAAGATCTTACCCTATCCATTCCTGGCTACCGTGAGTGGTCCAATAGGTGGGGACGTGACCCAAGCCTGGCCAGTTTCTCCCAGAGCTCTCTCAAGCTGAATCCAGGAAAGAGAAGTGCTTTAGCTGAGAGCTTGTGATGCTGGAGCTGCCTGTCCCTGAGGAAGAGGAGAGACAGTATCTGAGTTCCTGGTTCCAGCCCACGAGTCCCCAAAGTAATCTAGTTCCTGTAGTGCTTCCTTAATTCTCTGGGCTAACAGTTTATTTCCAATAAATCTCCCTTTGGGGCTTATTTCCGGTTGGGTTTCTGGAAAAAGAAAAAGAGCCCTAAAACATGCAGTTCAAGGAAATGCCTCCAGTTTAAGAAAATAAAAAATTTCAGCAGGGACTTTGCCTAAAAATCCCACTGGATGAAAAGTCTGTCAACTTGAGTTCACCAAAGAATTCAGGTTGCCTACACTTTATAATGCATGAAAATCCCATTTAGCCTTCCTCTTGTAGCCAGGTGAGATTAAAGCTTTTATAGATTTTTTCGGAAAAACAATGTGACACGACATCCCCTTGGATGACCCGAGGCAGTTGGAAGTTCTGTGGGCAGATGCAAGGATGGTTCTATTGTCCCCTCTGGTGTCTTGGGGATCTGGGGATGTGGGAGGCGGGCATTCCTAGTCCTAGATGGGGAGATACTAGGACTCATCTCATTCATGCTTCATAGCTGGCTGGATGCTGGCAGATGGCTGAGCAGGTAACTGAAAAAAGGGCTGAGAAAGTAGCTTGTACTATGAAGTGGCAGGAGCTGGAACAGGATTTGCACTTCTGCTATGGCTCCAGCCGATCTTGGAGATGTGCCTCCTTTCACCTCATCTTGTCCCTCCCTGCAGCCAGAACAGGAAGAGGAAATACAGCTAGATTAACCACCCTCCTAAAAGACCTTGAGAGACAATGAGGGAAGGGCGTTGTTTTAGGTTAGTTGCTCTTACTGGCCAGTGGGTCGAAGGTTCTAGCATCTGTTTCGGGGAAAGGAGGCAAGCACTCCAGATGTTTTCAATGACATTCGTTAGATACCTGTTGTAAGATCTCACCCTCCCCTCACCACCCAGGCTTCCCCCAACCTATATTAAATCAGGGCTTGTTTTGAGATGGTGAGCTAGTGGGGTTCTAAGGGGGAGTAATGCTTTATGTATCAAATGACCCAAAAATGTCTTTGTGGAAAACTTTAAGAATAAATGTTAATGTATCTTCAAAGCTTTTCAACTACTTTTTTTTTTTTTTTTTAAATTTTTGGCTTCATTGGGTCTTCATTGCTGCACGCAGGCTTTTCTCTAGTTGCGGCGAGCAGGGGCTACTCTTCATTGCAGTGCGTGAGCTTCTCATTGTGGTGGCTTCTCTTGTTGTGGAGCACAGGCTCTAGGCACGCGGGCTTCAGTAGTTGTGGCACATGGGCTCAGTAGTTGTGGCTCGCGGGCTCAGTAGTTGTGGCTCGCGGGCTGTAGAGCACAGGCTCAGCAGTTGTGGTGCATGGGCTTAGTTGCTCCAAGGCATGTGGGATCTTCCCGGACCAGGGCTCGAACCCGAGTCTCCTGCATTGGCAGGTGGATTCTTAACCACTGTGCCACCAGGGAAGTCCCTCAACTACTTTTTAAAAATAAAAGTTCTACTCTTAATAACACAGCTGAAGCTTCCCATTTAGAGGAAATGATGCCCAGAGTTGCAGTAAAGACTCTGGAGAAATATTAGCCCAAAAGTTCTTTAGCCTTGCTAGGGAATTTAGATTTTAGGTTTCTTAACATAAAGTATTTCATTTAAAACAAGAAGTAAGATTAATTTGACAATTAAATCATATAATAATTTATTCTAAGGGTTTTTACAAAATACTTTATGAAAATTATACAGACACAGGAAGTACAGTATAATTTAACAATTTACATTCTAATTAAAACTTTGTTGCAAGGCATGTCTGAGACCACTCTCATGCTCTTTTCATATAGTAGAGTTATAAGAAAAACAGAATCTCATATATGCAAGGTTTTTGTTTTATATACGGCACTCTAGTACAAAATACAGGCTTGAGACTTATCTTAGGAGAAAATTAAGCCCAAAACTAAATTCCACCTATGGCCAGTGGGTGGCACCAAAGCACATTTGGGACTTTAACACTGGGAAAAGGGGAAGTTTCTCAAGGCAAAAAACATACGTACGCAGTAAATATAGTCTCATTGCCCTAACATGGAATTCCATTTTCAATAGAGATTACAGAGTAAATAGCTTTCTTATGAACAAATTCTTCATCATCACTGATATTCTGCCTTTTTTTCCCCTCGTAGGAGTATCTTTCAGTCACTCTTCTACAAACCAACATTTCTTCAGTTCATGCAAGGGTTTTCAATGATCAAGTGGCAGGCCCTTCTACCTGTAGCACAAAACTGTGGTTTGAAACACATGGTGGTGGGACTTCCCTGGTGGTCCAGTGGGTAAGACTCCACGCTTCCAGTACAGGGGGCGTGGGTTCGATCCCTGGTCGGGGAATTAAGATCCGACAAGCCTTGTGGCATGGCCAAAAAATGAAAAAAAAGAAAAAAAGAAAGAAACACATGATGGCAAATTGGAAAACTCTTTTCATTAACAACACCCCACATTTAATTATTTTTGGCAGCTTTTTCTTTGAAGCAGCAGCAATGGTTTGATTTTCTTAACTTTCTCAAACATCTTCTTTAATGTTGGAGTCACAAACACATTACATGTTTTGTTATCATTTAAGTCTCTTGGGCCTTGTAACCAAAGAAGTACATGCAGGTTGACTTTAACATGCTGTGTAGCATTTGTTATGGCAATAGATAGAAGGTGAGGATCTCTGTCTACATAGTAACATTTTTAAGATCAGATTCCACGTGTTTAGTAGTTTTCAGTGGAGGAGCCAGTGGACTTTGGGTTCACTTGGAAATCTTGGCAATCAACAGCATTCTAAGAGGCAGGGTTGCTTCAATCCAAGTGTTGGGGGAATTTACCATCTTTTCCCAGAGAGCAACTTCCTCTGAAGTAGAGTCCATCCAATCCACTTCAGTACCATAGCTTTTCCCTGGAAAAAAAGGGAAGCTTTGCATTTAGAAAGGAATAGCTCATTGGGAAAAAACTGAGTCATTCCCTAATTATAATCACCAATGGAAACAGCTAGGAAGAGTTTTAACATCACCAGGAGGGCAGAGAAAGAACTGTTTAACCATCTGAGATATCCAATAATGGGACCCACCACAATTGGGATTATTCTCATTATTCTCAGAGTAATGATTTCTCTTCACATCCATATAAAAGTTAGATGAGAATCTGTCAGGTGCATAAGGGGATAGTAGGGAGGATTCCAGCATTGCGTTGGAAGTGACAGTACGTGATCTCTAGGGAAGTGTGGTTACAGCTTTAGTGTCTAACAGACTCAATTTTGAATCCTGGCTCTGCCACTTATTAGCTCTGTTTCTTAATTTCTTGGAACATCAGTTTCTCTGGGGCTAACATTAGAAACAACTCATAGAACTGCTGTGAAGATTAAATGAAATAATGCAAATAAAGCACTTAGTACAGTGATCAGTGCTCCATAAATATTAGTTACTATTATTATGCAAAGCACACTTTTAGCCATGAAGGGCCACAAATGTTTTTTCAGGAAAGAGTAGTGATGAAGGCTTTTCTGGTTTCCCCCACAATAACTTAAGCTCTGTGTGGACAGACATTGCATCCCGTTAATCTTTGTATCCAGAGTCCTTGGCACACAGCCTGACATTCCTTCACTCATTCATTTCATTATACTTAACAGAAACAATATCTGTTTTCATTAGGAAGAAGCAAAACAACAAACCAACCAATCTCTAGTGTCTCCAGAAGCATTTGACTCATGGAGAATTAAAAATGTAACAAATGTTACCTGTTCCAAAGCCAATCCGAAGACCTCCCAAAAACTGGTTGGTTAATTTGTAATGGTCCCAGACAGTAAGCTCGACACAGGCTTCCGTCAGGTCCTCAGGCCTGAACCCATCATACACCATGGTGTGGTTGAAGACAGGGTTGGTGGTTTTCCCCACAGCTCTCGTCTTCTGGCGACTTTTCCTACTTGTATCTGGAAGGATGGTACTACGAAAGGAAACATTATTGTGAGAACATTTTAATAAGACAGTAAACTCATGCTTTCAGTGTGCTTCAGCTACTGGGGATTGGCGAGAGGAAATGGAAGAAAAAAAGAGTGTAGAGAGATGGTGATGGTGATGGCGATGGTGGGGCATCCTGCCGGAAAGACTCTCTGCACCAGAGTGGACCACACTTGCTTGGAATCCTGACTCTGCCACTTAGTGGCTGTGTAGTATAGGAAACTGACTTAACCTCTTAGACACTTGCTTCCTCATCTATAAAATGGGAATGGTGATGCCTACCTCAAAATGTTAATATTAGAATTACATATTAAGCAAACAACTTAGTTCAGTACCTGCACTTAGTGTTTACTATGTAGCAATTGTTTGTGGATTCCTCTAAAATCTATTCCTGATTATCTGTGATAGCCTAAGAAATCAGTCTTGTACAGAACTGCAAAAGAAGAGAAACCTCTCCAATTTGCTAGATTTGACTTTGGGAATGAATTATATTACATATTTGCAATTATTTATATTTACTTTATGGTAATAAGTGAAATTAATTTAACCTACCATGTCTCTTGTGCAGACAAGAAGGGCCGGGACTAGTCTTGGAATGGGAGACTGACCTGAGCTGAAAAACTTATCAGTTGACATCTATGAAGAATATGTATAGGGAAAATCATAAATAAGGTCATATAAACTTAAATAGCTACAATTGGTCTTCTGGTAGAATCTATATAGATAAAATTAGTCAGAGAGAGTTAGGACAGCACAATAATATCTGTTTAGTTAAGATGCCAAGCATTTATATTACAACAGAGAAAAAGGTTGCAACTTAAAAACCCAAATTGTCTTAAACTCTTATGAGCTAATTATTAGTATGGGTCTATTTAGCAAATAACTTCCCAGATATTTACAGACTGAGGCAAAAGGCCTTTTGCAAATGGGCCACAAAACAGATGCTCCACAAAGGATCCAAGAGTTGTGGCATCACCATTAGCCATTTCATAAACTCTTTAGTATTGAATATTGTCCTCATCAGCAGATGTACCTCCTAGAAGACATTACGTATCTGAGCATGTGATCTCTGGTTTCAATTGTATGTATTCCCTCTTATCTTTATGATTTTAAAACTAAATGAAGTACTTCTCTGGTGGTGCAGTGGTTAAGAATCGCCTGCCAATGCAGGGGACACAGGACACAGGTTCAATCCCTGGTCCGGAAAGATCCCACATGCTGCGGAACAACTAAGCCCGTGCACCACAACTACTGAGCCTGTGCTCTAGAGCCCGCGATCCACAACTACTGAGCCTGCGTGCCGCAACTACTGAGGCCCACGCGCCTAGAGTCCGTGCTCCGCAACAAGAGAAGCCACGGCAATGAGAAGCCCGCGCACCACAAAGAAGAGTAGCCCCCGCTCACGGCAACTAGAGAAAGCCCACACGTAGCAGCGAAGACCCAATGCAGCCAAAAATAAATAAATAAATTTATTTTAAAAACCCCAAAAGCAAAAAACTAAATGAAGCCTTGGAGAGGGTTCATGTCAAAGATCCCTCTAGCTCAAGTCGCCACTGTCTCAAGTTAGTTTATTTATACTACTAATGACGACTTTCAGCATCACAGATACAGAAAAGTAAAACCAAGCAGCAAAGGCCAGGCTATTGTAGAACTGAGGGTGGAGAGTTATCAATGCTGTTACCATTTAACAAAAGAATTTAGATGGCTGCCCCTTAGCAGTGGTAGATCAAGGCATTCCTTCACCCAGATGTGCACTTCTCCAGTTGTAGGAAGCTTTTTACCTGTAACAGAAAAAAGAGAGAGAAAATGAAATTCCACTGCCATTCCTCTCTTGGCAGTACTGCATCCAAAGATGCCAACCTAAAAATGGTCTGACATAGCGACGCTAGCTAGTGTTTGATCATATGATCCTAATTGATTATATCTGTTCTTAACTATATCTTTCATAGTCTGGCTGTACTGAGCTCAGATAGCTCTATGAAAATAATTTAATTGATTCCAAGTACAGAGTATTACATCATTCTTTTTGGGTTTTGCTTGGCTCAATGAGATCAATTATAGATATTAGGTATGTGAATCATCCATTTACAGTTATATTCAAAACTACTCAGTGAAATGCATATACCTTTCAAATATTAATACCAATATCAATCGGTGCTGATAGGAGGCATTTTAAACATATCTGAGTA